ACAATGGACGTGCTGCGACAAGGTCATTTCGACGATGCCGCTGTCATTGCATGTCGAAGTACGACGGTTCTCTTTCTTCTTCCTGAGTGACGGGACGAGGCCACATCAGCAACAATGATCGATGGCGCGGAGCCAAGGAACGGCGGGTGTTAGGCGGTGGGTGGTATATCGGCGACAGCGGTATATATAGGATGGCGGTAATGCGGACGGGTCTGACGGCTTGTCACGGATGGCGCGGCGCCAGGCGGCTGCGCCATATTATATAGTAACGTGCAACGTGACCATCGTAGCCAAACGCAAACCAACAGGGCGGTTGTCCACGATGCAGCACTGGTTCTCCGAGGTGGCGCACCGGTGTCCGAGTAGCACCGGGTTCTAGCGGCCCTTCTCGTCGGAGGAGGCACTTCACGTAGCGGCTAGTTGTGGGGCTCCCTGACAGGCTGCCCACGAGGTCCAGCTACGGCGTCCACCTAACGAGGAGGTATACAAGGAGAGAGCGGATTAGGTCTGGCAACCACCTCGGCGTAGCTGGGTGATGCTGGCGCCGGTGTTGCCGGCGTAAGAAGGTGTACGTGTTGGTCTGGCAAAATGTTGATTTCTTGCACGATAGTGTGGTGGGGTGCAAGCGTGATGTCCCAAGCGGCTTGTTGTACATGCAACGGATGAGCAAAGGGTATCAAGGACAGTTTGCGTGTAACTTCCTCCCTTACGAACGCTTTCATTTTCGCAAGCAGTGCGAACTGGCCGGAGATGGCGGCCAAAACCAGTCACATGTTCATTGTGCGATAAAGGGCGCCAATCAACAAGCGATGCCTATAGCTGCTCGTAACTTTGACACAAATTGATTATTTCTGTTATAGGCTGAATTTACTTCGCAAGTAACATGTTGAAGGCAGCGTCCTGTATGCAAGGGTCGCCGTTGGGTAGGCTGGAAAAAGTGCCAGAACTCAATATAAAAGTAAGTAACAAAAGTAACGAAGCCATTCAATATCGTTACAGTTAGTCAAATCTAGTTAAGCATCAGCAGCGAGACCAACAGACGAGCGAAGAACGACGCACAGTGGTTATGTGCCATATTGATTTATTGTTGAAACAAACAAACCAAACACTTGTCGTATCTCACTATAGCAGCGGTAACTCGCAGCAATTTCACAGCACCTATTCGACGACAACAGGATATAGATGTTACAACGATCAGGACAGATATCTCATGGCGGCTAACGAAAATAAAATGTTCGTGCCACATCGCACAATTCAGCTTCCTCGTGTGTGCAGGTATCCCATGACACATCTCTAGATTGTGTGATGACCATCGACGGCAATGATTGGAAGCGCTTTCACCAACGCCATACCAATCTAACAATTGGCACTTTTCAACGCAATTGTAAACACGTCCAACTTCCAGACCCCAATTTCGCCAAGGCACCTTCCGAAATCTGCCACCAGCGTAGCCAGCCTGCTTGCGAGGCTGGCTACGCTTAAATGTGTTAATCAACCGGTATGAATTCTGACGAGAGCCCGGCGCTGGAACCGGTGCCGTAGCAGCTAGTATGTTAAAAAAAAGGGCACAAATTTCATTTGATGCCGTTTTGGCTACGAGCACGTCGGGTAGAACAAGAGCAAAGCGACAACAGAGGCCACCTGATACAACTGGACGCGCATGCGCACCGCAGCAGGCGTCTCTTCGCTAGATGGCGCCTTCAGCCACGTGATCTTATGCTTATGCTCACGCCTGTACATTCCACGAGCACAACGAATGTCTAGGCATTAGGCTAAGTTGTATGCAAAATGCCTGTCTTGTGCTCAACTCTAAGACGTGCTATTTCGGTGGGTGCCAAGCCTTGATGCTAGGACATCTTATGAATGAAGATGGTGCCAGCTCTGACCCTGCAAAGACAGAGTCTGTTGAATCATCTGAGACACCTTATTCTGTGAAAGAACTTCACAGCATCTCGGGGTTTTGCTCTTTTTGAGATTCATTTCTCCCTTTGCTGAGGTCATGCACTTATTCCTTGATGAGCGCCTGCACAAGAGCGTGCTATTCGAGTAGACGCCCGAGTGTTCAGCTTCCTTTCGGCAGCTTCATTTCTTGCTTACGTCACTATCGATACTAGGGCATTTTAATCCTGCCGCGCATACAGAGGTCCACAGAGAGAGAAATGTCATCAGTATTAGTGCTGCACTGGTAGTACGATTGGGCAACAAGGAACATGTCCTGGCCCACGCAAGCCGATCATTAAGCAAACATGAGTGGTAACTGAGCAAGAATGTCTCGCTGCTATTTTCGAGGCTCAGTTATTTCGGTCATACCAACGAGCGTTAGCCTTCGATCATCACCAACCATCACTCTCTGTGCGCTGGCTCGTCGATCTTTGGGATTCATCAGGACGCCTTGCACGGTGGATTCTGTGTCTGCAAAAGTACAACATCACTGCCTTTCGTAGTACCTGACTCGGTCCTGCGAGACGCAGCACTATCCTCTACAACGGCAGGTGAAGTGTGACAGTTCATGCTGCATTGCCTAATACTTCATCGTGGTCCCCTCTTAGCGGTAATCAGTAACCGTGGCTGTCGGCTCAGGGCCGATATGGTTGAAGAACTACTGCGTCGTTGAGCCTCGAATCTGCAGTATTCGACGTCTTATCACCCTCAGACCAATGGCTTGACTCAGCGCATGAACAGAGCACTTGTGAACATGATATCTATGTATTTTAGCTCGGACTACCTAGAACTGAGACGAAGAGCTTTTCGTTCGTCACATATGGTTATAACACTGCGCAGCATGAAACCCCTGGATACAGCTCGTTTTTTCCTTCTTTACGTTCGTTGAGCGCATACGATCTTTTCTTTCTGTAGTTATGACGACTCCTTCATGGCGTAAACGCATTTACCAGGATGGAGGAGGCTTGGAGACTCGCTCGATCGCGTACTCTGGCTTCACTAAAATGGTCGAAGTTAAGATAGGTCAGCAGACACCGGCAAGTAACCTATGAGCCTGCAGACTTAGTGTGGATATATGGGCTCCTGCCCTTAAACGTGGACTTTCCCAAGGAGAATAGGAAAAAAAGAACGACAGGGAGGTCAACCAGCCTATATGCAGTCGGTTTGCTACCCTGCGCGTGGGAGGGGTGGAGGAGACGAAAGATAGAGAGCAGAGATGTAAGAGAGATAAACACAGCACATTCGGCAGCACATTACAACAAAAAACAACTTAGACACGGACAACCCTTTGTCCGAGTCTTAATTGTCTTCGTCTACGCTACGCACTCATTTTTCAAGCAATCAAGAACAAGATATTCATCACTCCGTCTTGGCAAGCGTGCCGTGTTGTTGTTTTTTTCTCGTTTTTTTTTTGAAGGTCTCTCGATGAGCATTATATTGTTGGAGCCGCAGGGTGTTTGAGGCGGAGGGTGTTCGCATTAATGCTTTCCTTGCGGCACAGTTAAGGTCTAGACCAAGGAGCAATATTCAATGGTGGGCTAGTGATTAGGAAGGCCATAGCGTCTTTGCGTGCACGCGAGAACGTCGCCTTCGCGAAGGCATATGAAGGGTACTCCATTTTTTTCTCGTTAATCAGTACTTCTAGTTATATCTTTTATTTGGCTATTGATTATATGTGAAATGTAACTATGAGCTTTATAGCAGTTTTACTGTTCACTCCTGCATCGAACAGGCGCTGATTCAAATTTCTGACCACGAAGTAACAGCCGTGCGTTCTTCTTTTTTTTTTTAGGTAATATAGGGCAGTAATGCGTTTATTTTTTTTTGTTAGTGCAATAGTAACGTATTTAGTTACTTTTGTTCTCTCCATAGCGTCTACAACACTGTACATTCTTTAGGTCAGCGATAACAAATTTGGGAATGTATCGGAGTATCTTAATATACAATCGGAAAGTATCGTATTGGGTACAATCTCTGCTCTAGTACATTGTATATATAGTTTGTAAGCCATATGTATGTTTCATACAGCCCAGACGTGAGATTATATAGATAGATAGATAGATAGATAGATAGATAGATAGATAGATAGATAGATAGATAGATAGATAGATAGATAGATAGATAGATAGATAGATAGATAGATAGATAGATAGATAGATAGATAGATAGATAGATAGATAGATAGATAGATAGATAGATAGATAGATAGATAGATAGATAGATAGATAGATAGATAGATAGATAGATAGATAGATAGATAGATAGATAGATAGATAGATAGATAGATAGATAGATAGATAGATAGATAGATAGATAGATAGATAGATAGATAGATAGATAGATAGATAGATAGATAGATAGATAGATAGATAGATAGATAGATAGATAGATAGATAGATAGATACTAAAAAAAGAGTTTGTGGAGTACAGCATGTCAGCGTGGTATATCATTACTGATAAGAAAATGGCGAGAGCCACATTTTAAAAAAAAAGTAAGCATGAGCAAGACAGATGACGCACACAATACTTCTCTTAGGCCGAATTTATTCATTACGGTGTAATGAAAGCATCAGCGGGGACCTGAGAGACTACAAACAAGCGCCGGGCTTGTGTGTACGCCGTTTCTCTCGTGGTTGTCCGCGCTGGTGCCTCCTTGCTCCCAGCCAGATGACGATTGCGGCTGTGTGGCAGAAATAATGCTCCAGTACTCGATTTTTTTTTTTTTTTTGTATGGAATTGCTCAAAGTCGCCGAAGTCTAAGAACTGGCTCGCATTCAAAAACAGAAAGATGTCACTTTCGTTTATGTTATCAATGACCATTTGTCCCCAACAATATGTCCACTCAATATAGAAAATCACATTTGTGAAAATCCGCAAGGCGGCGGAAAAGTCATCAGTGGCGGAATGGACAATTACCCACTTTTGTGGCACGAGAAATTGTGCCTTCGAGAAATCCCAATAGACTCGCTTGCAGCCACGCCACCACTTGGCAGTATTCTGCTGACACCTTGAATGGAAGCGTTCGAAGAGGATGTGATTCACCGGCAATTGTGTACCAGCACCGTTTGCATATCGGAGTGGCGTTCCCCTTTCGGCGTTTGGCGCGCCTTGAAAGAACCGCCTCTCCAAGGCCGCCAACTACGTGTGTTTTTATACGTGCACGTTCGCTCGGTGGCTCTCTTCCTTTTAACGCGCAATATTTCTCTCTTTCAAATCGAGCAGCCGTTTCCTGTAGCGTCTGAATTTCTTTCGACCAGTGTCAACGGAGGCTGCCGAGATTTCGAGGCAGAAGGAGCGCCAGCCGTAAGTAGTCAACACCTGGTCTTGTTTATAAATTGTCTTGCCTCTTCCGATCAAGCTTTACTAGTGTTTGCCTAACCTTGGAACGTACTTCTTTACGGAGTATTCCGTGCTTAACACCAACTGTTTGTTGTCTATGGGAATACATTATAAGTTAACTTCAGCCGTTATTTCAATATATCCACGAAAATTTTCACCAACGAAAATAGAAGCCAGATATAGAATGATTGAGAAGCCATTTCTCTATTTTTACGAGCTATTAAAAGTTTGCTACAAAAACGTTCTAAATGCGTTGTTCGCCTTTTTCTGTACAACCCAGTACATTGAGAATGGCAGCCCCGTTGACGGCGTTTGAGCTCTAAGCCTTGCAAACAGCTTTACTGCGCAACTGCAACCGACTCAGCATTATTCCACTTAGCTTGAACTATTCACAACATTCTCTTATTCCTTAATGATTATTTATCGACCAGACATTACAAGGCTAAATACGGCGCAATACGTTCAATGCAAAAGTTGTGCAACCATTCGATGGAATTGATTTTTTTTCTTCGAGAGCTCACGTTGCAGACCCTAAATGAAACTCAGTTTATACAGCAAATTTACTCTTTCAAAGCTGTATTGGGAATGATTTCAAGTCGTCGCGGTGTTTGGTACGGAAATCACAGATTGGCGTCTCCGCACTCCCATTTCCTTTTGGCGCGTTTTTTTTTTTTCTCGCTTATCAAGCGTCATGTCACGGTAAGAGTGGTCTTCTTAAGGCTGTGATATTGTACTTTATACAAGAAAAATGATTTTGCTCTTTAGTGTACTACCGTTTAAAGGCTCGTTTCTGTGTTAGGCACAAGTTAAATGAAGACCATCAAACAGTCCAGCCAAGGAAGGAGACGTCATTTATGCTCTCCTAAGTGTACTCTAGTAACTACGCTACAAACGGGAAGAAAGTTAAATGGACGAAAAGGGCAGCTGCCGCCGGCAGAGGCCAAACCCGTAGTCCGACGCTCTTACCATTTGAGCTACGTCGATGGTTGTCCTTTCGCCCCCTTTTACTTATTTCGCGTTTATATCGTAACTACTACAGTACGAAGAGCAGCGCAGTATTCTGGGGTTTCGCGTCGTTTGGTGGTGTTTAGTGACGACTGCATGACGTTGCGTTTCTGCACGATTTCTAGTTGCAATACGCTTACCCTCTTCAGCTTCACTGTCAATGCGCTGTACAACTAAACCGTCCTGGGTTTCACTGTCTATTGGAGTTCATTAGGTTTGCGTCTAACAAACAACCTCGACAATTTTCTCATTTTGTTCATTCATAGCGGGGGTCTCGTTCTTGCAGGACTGGTGCGTTCAGGTAGTATGCGAGGGCTTGTTGGACATCTGCCAACTCGCCGAAAAATTCCGTGCTACGTGATGCCAGCTGGCAAAAAGAAAAGTGTTCTGGACTCATCGTTGTGGTTACACTTACTCGTTTGCATGCTCAGAAATACCCCATAAAAGTGAACGGAATGACGACCTGTGGTTGTGACTCAATCGGCAAAGCATCTAATGTGTTTTTCGAAGATTGCAGGCTCTGTCCTTGACGCCGGCAAGTTTTTTTTTTTTTGTCTCCTTTGCTTTCTTCACATTACATTTTAATTGCGACATTATGTAGTAAATATAGTTAAAAGAGCGCAAACAACGTCCCCTACACCTTCTTACGGTAGCTTTTACCGCGAAATAAAGACGAGAGATGGACAACCCCAAACTATCAACTGATTTTATTCGAAAGGCACACATATATATAAGTGAACGAAGTCAAAATAACGAGTCACATTAGTAAAAACTTAAATTCTATTAGTGGCAGACGCTCAAATAATCTAAACTCGGTGGCATGCAACGTGATAAAGGGCCTCGCTACGCATGTCTCACTCGATCTGTCAATAATATATGCTTCCTGAATTTCTCGTGCAACCTTCCCTTTTAATCTTGCGAGAAACTTAATTTCTTAAAGCAAGGGTGCGCAGCCGCACTCCTGCAATGTAAAGAAAGATTAGAACAAGGACTCCCTCTCAATGAAGCCTTATGATCTAATAATCTATATACTGCAAACACAGACCCGTCTGCCCGACATGGCAATTTCCACATGATAATGGTGTATCATATACTACCTTTTTGCCACACTCAACCAATTTATCACGGTGCTTTGATGTCACACCCATGGTCCCGCTTGCTCTGTCCTAATTGCTCCTTACCCACAGCCGCACGAATAAGGCCAAGCTTGTATGCAGCAGAAAAAACCGCACTCAACCCTAAACCTCTCAACAAGTTTTCCACTCGCCCAACAAGTCCCTCTACTGACCTACACCTTCCTTGTTACCATTGTATGTCAGTATCTGTGAATGGCAGTATCGATAGTCGTTTGTTTATATAGGGTAACTTAACTTCAATACGATAGCAATTAGATACCATTACTTAGATATCTAGACATTCCACTGGGGCAACAAGTTATTCTCTACCATAAGTACAGACGTGAGACTGGTGCAATTCATGTTTTCGCGATGTTTTTTTTTAGAATATCAAGAAAAGCTTTCCTCGTTTCCAGTCGGCAACTCATAAATTGCCCTGACGACAATATTGGGCATTTATTATGTTAACCATTCAATTTAGAACTCATTATCGAATATCCTTCGGTAAGAGAATGCCGGTAGCAGCTTTTCAAGGCATCTTCGATTGCACCTTATATAGGACTGTGATATGTCTGGTGAAATGATTAAGGTGCAATCGAAGATACCTTATATAGGACTGTGATATGTCTGATGAAATGATTCTTCACAATGGAACGAGTCACATTTCATCCATGGACGGTTAGGTACTTTGAACCCAACTCTTAGTCTTCGAATTCCTCCGGAATTACGCCAACGAGACGCTACTATGCTGTGCAGATTATGGTTGGGCGTCGCATTTACCAAAGCGTACGCGTTCCGCACAGGAATGGCTGACACTGCGGCATGCGACCATTGTGGCAGTGATGAAACAACTTGGCACATTATGTGTGAATGCCCACAATACTGCTCGCAGAGACAGTCACTCTGCAATGCACTAGATGAACTGGACAACCAGCCTCTTTCGGAAGAAAGAATCCTGCGCTGCCGACAGGACTTTATGTCGCAGAAGAAGGCTGTGAAGGCGCTCCTGCACTTCTTGCGTTCAACCGGCCTGTCCAAACGACTGTGATTAGAACTCCCTGATTGTGTGCGCATGTGGTTTTTTTTTCTAATTTATTTTTTATCTCTCTATTTCTATCCTCTTTCCGACCCTTTTCCCCACCCCCGTACAGGGTAGCAAACCAGTTCGTCTAGGTTAACCTCCCTGTCTCTTCCTTTTATTTATTTCTCTCTCTCTCTGGTGAAATGATGCCGGTCATCATATATAGGTAATCAAGTCTAAGTTAATAAAATGCATCAAAAGTCTGTGTTAATTAAAAAGAGCAAGTCATCAAGGCCTTCATTTTTAATGCGTCTTATGTTAAGTGAGAAACGTACATGCTCTGCCATCGATTGCAGAGCTTAACGTTAAAGGACTCCAAGTTTTAAAGGTAACAAGGTGACGATTGAAACAGGGCCGTGATAGTCTAACCGCAATATGTCGCAGCTGTATACTTTCAAGTCTTCCACGAATCGCCCTCATCGGCAATCCCATCGGTAGACTCATTGCGGCGAAAAACACGCCATCTGCCTGGCGCACGAATTTATAAGACACGTTTCTTGCGAGGAATGGTGGCTTATACAATAGTTGCTTGTTCATCATAATCCTCATCATCACCAGCCTGACTCATCCCGCTGCAGCACCAAGGTCTCCCCCATGTTCCGCCAGTCAACTCGGTCTTCTGCTTGCTTTTGCCACTTTATACCTGCAAACTTCGCAATGTCATCTGATCACCTAACTTTCTGTCTCCCCCTCACCCACCTGCCTTCTCTGGTAATCGGCTCAGTTCCCCTAATGACCAGCCAGGGGCGTAGCCAGGGGCGTAGCCAGGGGGTTGTACACCAGGCCCGTGCCCCCACCGCTCCTGAATATTTTTCCGCCATAGAATGGAGAACGAAAAAGGTCATTTCAAGGGGGGTGCCCTCCAAGAAATCAAGGTGCCCCCCTCCCCTCGAAAAAAAAAATGTCTGGCTAGGCGCCTGTGACCAGCGGTTCCTAACTACGTGCTATGTTCCCGGCCCATGTCTATTTGGTCTTTTGATTTCAACTATATAGGATATCTTTAACCTCGGTTTCTTCCCTCACCCGCTCTGCCTTCTCCTTGTCTCCTAAGATTATTTCCATCATTTTCCTTTCCATCACTCACTGCGTCGTCTTCAATTTAAGCCGAACCCCCATCGTAAGCCTACAGCTTTCTAGGATGACTGCCAGACTGGGCGTGTTGGTGAATCCAGCTTTCTGCTCCGTAGGTGAATACCAGCAAGATGCAGCTGCTATATACATTTCTCTTGAGGGATAATAGCAATCTACCAGTCATGATTTCTTAAATGTTCATCAACATACTGCATCCGATCGGCTCCTAGAGTCCCAGAATCTCGCCTGTAACCTGTTCTTTTCTAAATCTTGGCAAGAACCATCTGCCGACTACCACAGTGCATGAAACAAACAATAGCGTCGCTTGTTTCATCAGTCATGCACGTCGCTAATTTATCACATCTGTCAATGTCAGCACCACAAGTTATTGTCCATGTATTTCGCTCGGTATATTTACTACGATACAGACGTTGTCGACCGATTTGTCGACTGACGTTGTCGACTGACTTTACATTTTTCAAATGACTTTACTGCTCAAGCTCGTCGACCTTGCCCACAAACTTCTTGTTTGCTTTCTTAGACACGTAGTTTATAAACGTAGGAAGACAATGATAGTGATCTGACTCCATCAAGGAAAGCTCCATCGCCCTCCTCAACAACAGCCTGAGCTTCTGTGAGGGCCTCACCATTGTCTGTCATATCATAATTTTTTCAAGTAAACATCCGCCCGTATATAATCACGTTTTGTCATCACATTGTTATCAGTGTAATTATTATGAAAGTGAAAGTCAGAAACAATCCTACCCAAAGATACGAGAAATTCCGCGCGGATATTTAGTAAAAAGCTTTTGGATAAGAAAGCAGTCCTTCTACGTGGATCCGACCCGTTACCAAAGCCTTCCGGGTCCATTGTTTGCTGATTGGGTTAATGAGGAAACTAGTGGTCAGCAAGCAGAATCCACCTTGTTCACAATGCATCTGCACATGCACGTGCTTCAACTGGGGGAAAAGGCGTGAAATGTCTCTTCATCTCAGCAGCTTTGCTTCTGGCAATACAGGTTGTGCCAGCCCTTATACTAATGCCCAACCACAAAAGCAGGTGACGGTAAAGAAAATGAAAGAGGCTTATTAATGTACAATTTGGAGTACGGGGACCTCGACACGCAATAAGACGGCAATAAAGGCCCAGACGCACAAGACGAGCGCTGCCCTGTCTGGGTCCTTTCTTCTCCTTCTTTGAAGCAGGGCAACGAGACGTAGACAATGAAGGAGCGGACACGCGAGACGGGCGCTGTCCTGTCTGGGTCTTTTGTTGCCCTTCCTTGAAGCAGTGCAACGAGACGTAGACAATGAAGACATGGACACACGAGACGGTCGCTGTCCTGTCTGGGTCCTTGTTGTCCTTCCTTGAAGCAGTGCAATAGACAATGAAGGCACGAACACGTAGGACGAGCGCTGCCCTGTCTAGTTCATTTTTTTTTCATGACGCAGCACTCCTCTTCTAGGTTTATTGCACCACTTCAACGATACACTTGTATTAGTCATCACAAGTTTCTGTCCTGCTGCACATGGGTATTCGATATTGAATATCTGTTGCACGGAAACTCGTGCAGTGACAGAAAATTTATCAAAGAGAAAAAAAGCGTTCCCATTATAACCCTTCCACTAGCCAGCCGGATTCAGCAGCACTAATTTTTAATAACCCGTGTACTTATCGTGGAAAAAATATGCGTTCATATTTCACTTCGGGATCATACCAATACTTAAACGTGATTAACACTTTTCTCATTAATATTTGTGTTTAAATGCAATAATAATATTTAGACGCATACTCCAATCATTATTTAGGACTGTGCTAACACGTACAGGAGAGGACAATGGACACTGTTCAGCCAGAGAAGAAGCTGGACCTGCGGGCGGTCGTGGCCGAGCTTCTTCTGTTTGTGAAGATCGTGCTGCTGGCCATCGAACATTTGTGGGACAAGCACGCCATGTGTCACTCAGAGGCGTCCATGGAAGGGAAGACAGTCATCGTTACGGGGGCCACCTCAGGTTGGTTTTGTTACGTACCACCTTGACTGAGAACGTGACATTCGCCTAAAGATGAAAGGGTGTCAGCAATGCACTTCTAAAGAAAACATTGGGCGAAGCTGCATTCGCGATTATGCACTAGACGCAGATCATTCTAGCGAACTATTGTCTGAATTTCATTGTAGCAAAACAGCCATTTGGCCTAGTTGGTAGTGGTTCATTACGGAAGATAGAAGTGGGGCGCGGTGCTTTACGACTGGAGGAGAGAACAACAACACAAGCGCACACTCGCACACTAGCACGTGCCTTGGTGATATTTTTATGACATTTCATGGAATTGCGGTGATTTTTCTGTTTTTTTCTTCTTTTAGGCAAAGAAAACCTGTATGATGTGACAATTTTTGTAAGCTATATATTTGTTGCACCTTCAATAAACTTTCAGTTGCGAGTGTGCGCTTGTGCTGTACTCCTGGCATGAGCCACTCCTGGCATGAGACGCCCACAATATAACCCCCCCCCCCCCCCCTTCGAGCATGCATGAGCTGGAGCTGAACAACGTCTTCCGTGAAGGCCTAGTACGATACCTTTATTTTCAACATCAAAAATACTCCTCCAGTCTGCCACTACTTTTTGATGCTGTGACATGAAAATTTTTCCCGAGAGTTGAGAACTGCAACGGCGTATACAAAACAGCGCAAGTTGTTTCATCTTCACAGTAAAAGCAGCGCAAAATAGGCGGTATACCAATGCATCGTTTTTTTTTTCCTGTGGTGTTCTTTTTTGCACTGCTTTTATTTTAGAGTTGAGAATACCTTCAAGCGAATTTGTCAACTGAGCTTGCCTGTACGTAAAGAACCCCGCCACGAATCTGGGCCATGATTTAAATGTAACTGGTAAGCTGTGTGAGGAATGTGACTAAAAATTTGTGTTGTTGGTTGCATTGCCAAGTGTATAGACCCTCGGAAGAAAATTATTTCACACTATGAATAAGATAACGATCACGAATACAACCGATTTGTCAGCCATATAATTAGTAGCCTAGTCAACAAACTTATGGTGGAAATTGTTTGAGGAATGGAGCTTTTTCAGCTTTTCGTTGTTATGGGTAGCACGAACGGCAATCATCATCATCATGAACTGGGACGTGCCCGCATTAACCGCTTCAACTTTTGCTTCACTGCTAGAACCCGTGCGCTGACTTCACCGGCCCGGAATACAATACAATAAGTACGATGACGTTCAGAAGAGCTTGTGTGGAGGCTAGTCGGAACCTACTGGACGCGAAATGCAGCGCTGCGAAGTTTATAACACGCAAAACAGGGAGGACACAGACTAAGCGCATCTAACAACGGATTTATTGAAACTAAAATACTAAAGAAAGACGCGACTTGCTGACAGTGCCCTCTTCTTCGTATGTCTAATTTGACCATGGTATGTCCCCTGCCTTCCCCCATTTGTTTTAGTCTTTTGTTTCGATAAACCAGCTGTTAGGTGCGCTTCGTCGGTGCCATCCTTTTTCCGTGTCACCAACTTCGCAGCTTTGCCTTTCGCATCCAATATGATAACGTTTCTGTTAGGCGACAAAAAATCACGGAACATTGCGTAACAACGAATCGTGCGGATAAAAACTACGTAGCATTGTGTAACAACTGGTTACGTGACTATAATCACCTTAATATCACGAAACTATAGTGACGTCACTGAAAAATCCTGTAACATCTAGTCCTTTGACTGAAGTTGCATAACATCAAGCCCTATTCACGTGAGTAGAATAATCTGACATGACATAACTGCTCACGTTATCAAGAATTACACAACATGACGTAACATACTAGTCACGTTACGAATATCACTACATTCCGTAACAGCTATCCACGTGACGCGTTACCGCCATCAACAAGGTGACAGGTGGTCATGTGAATAACTTCAAGTAACGCCAACTCAGAGTGACGTGACACATTCTTTCCCCAAACCACGAAACAGCTAGTCGTGTTGCTGAAATCACGTAACATCACGCAACTATTCGCGTGACATTCTACAGAAAAAACCACGCGGCCTGTACGCAGTGTGAAGAACAATAGGCAAAGTCTAGCCACACTTAGTACTACTAGCGAAAACTTTGCATCTCTAGCAAAAGCTTGTATTTACAAGCAAGACATGCTAGGTCATACACTGACTCCGATAATAGTGTATTTGTTGCTTGTGAGTCAGCTGAAGTTTTTCAGCGACGTCTGGAATACAATAATACATAGCACTGTATAGCTTGCTTTCCCACCTCTGTAACAGCTCGCGAGGGCTAACAGTATTGTAAATAAATAAATAATAATAATGGTTCCAGATTGCGCTACTAGTGCAATGAACAAGGACGCGCATGGTCATTTGACGACGCACAGACGTTCGTGTGTGTGTGTGTGTGTTTGAAAATGGCATAATCGCAAGGCCGCTTAAACGTCAAAACGGCACAGTGCAGCATCCTCGGTGAGACCCGTTTCTTCACGCAGGCATCGGCAAGGAGACAGCCATGGAGCTGGCGCCGCAGAAAAGCAAGAGTCATCATAGCCTGCCGAAACGCCGAGAAGGCGCAGCACACGGCGGAGCAGATATTCGAGCAGACGAAACAGCGGAGTGGTCGTCAAAGCGCTGGACATGACTTCGTTCAAGTCGGTCCGCAAGGTTCTGCGACCACGTCGTCCGCACAGAGGACCGGCTGGACGTGCTCATCAACAACGCCGGGGCGATTGGACGTAAGTTTAAAAATTGGCGGTGCCGTCTCTGCCGACGTCGACGGGATTTTGCTTCCGAAGTGAGCCATCGAAACGGCCACATCGATATAATCAGCATTTCTCAAGGCAAGCAAGCTGTACGTCAGCTGCACGTCAGCTTTGTCATGTCTCACTCAAGGTGAAGAAATGTTATCGAGTGATTGACTGATCTAGTGATTAATTCCCCTTCATTCGAACGATCAATCAATGAGTAACTTTTCTTTACCGAGGCGAATGCCAAACTGACTTGTAACCGTTTGAAGTCCCGTTGGGTCCGTCGCTACGAAGGCAGAACGGCAAAATTTTTACTTGGCAACTGTTATAAATCAGCAGCGGTTGATTGATTGATTGATTGATTGATTGATTGATTGATTGATTGATTGATTGATTGATTGGTTGGTTGATTGATTTAAAGCTTTTTTATAAGAGCACCACATGTCAGCACAGTCATTTAAATACGGTCCCAAATGGCTGCCTGTGCAGGGTATCCCCCATTTCCTGTCGCCGATGAGAAATCACCGTTACTGAGGCGGTTATTCAATGAACAAAGGACACAGGAAACGTCTTCACTTGAGTCCAGCATTTTAAAGGCGATATAATTTGCGAGATAGATCTGTGTGTACACACATACATCATCCACAAATTCATAGCGCTTATACAGTTTATAAGATGAGAGTTAAGGCTTCATCTAACGAAACCTGATTATACGAAGAGATCTTCATCCTCCTGCCGTATCCATCGCCTTTCATGTTGTCATCAACGCGAATTAACGTCACTATCATGGCACTGAATTCGATTTGACCAAGTTTTTGTTTAAGACAAGTGAGTGGCAGTTTATTTCTAAATTTGACACCATTGGCTTTTTTTCTTCGAGCACGCTCTCTAGCACGGTCGCGTTAAAACTTACGAGGCAGAACGCCGTGCTGTAGCATAGAACAACAGTCTTGTATCAGATGACGTTATTGACTCAGCGATTGCTCCCACGGGAGCACTGTGGTGGTTGGTTTAGCTATTTCATGGCTTGCGCCACAACGAACAAACGAGCCCTCAAAGTTCTCCTCACTTATGAAATAATTGATAGCGAGGGTCCCGTTCTGCCATGCTTGAAGCCTTCGGTAGCACACGAGGGCTCATTGGTCAGCTCTCCGCTCAGTAAAGGCTCTCGTGATACGTGACGCCAGCCGGCGAACAGGAAGAGTGTACACTACACTCGCTGCCATAGCTACGAGTGGCACTGACACGCTCGCACTTGAATGCCCATAAATATAATCCTGCTTTGCACGCACATAATCACCCAATAAATTAGTAAGGCGTGCGACCGCCGTCAGCTCAAGTGGTAAGAGCATCGTGCGCGTAATCAGGAGGTTGCAAGGTTCGATTCCTGCCGGTGGCGGGTTGTCTTCTTGTCTGCTGAACGTTCCTCACACTTCTGTCACATTTATTACAACACACTTTAAACAGTGCAATTGACGTTCCTTATATGCTTTCTTTGGATTCATTGTCCGCTGGTTTTCATTAACGACCACTTCGCAACTTAGCGTGATCGGGTGCTCGGACATGGGATTGTTACGTTGAGTGTATACGTCGCGGGTGGTTTGAGTGCATCAAAAGTAAACGCGAAAACATTCTAACTGCTGAAGAATAGAAAGGCACTGTCTTCAGGCTGTATAATATTTCGTTGGTGTTTTGGAGTAGTAATTAAAACCCAGGTAAACAGACACAGTAGTAGAGAGTGGTCCTCAGTCGAGAGTCAATTTTAGGCCCGTGTGCTCAGATTTGGGTGCACGTTAAAGAACCCCAGGTGGTCTAAATTTCCAGAGCCCTCCACTACGGCGTCTCTCATAATTATATAGTGGTTTTGGGACGTTAAACCCCACATATCAATTAATCAGTCGAGAGTCAAATATACGTACCGGTACTTACATCTACGGCTAACCTAATGACGTAGAATAGCGGATGAAAAGGTAAAGATAAAATTATTTCTAGCTTTAGGGAGCGGCAAAAGGCTGAAACCTCGTACGAAAGTAATGACGTGTTTCCATCACTCGCCACATAGCTTCAGCTTGAATGGATAGATCCCGACAGCCGCCTCTTCATGTTGTGAAGCAAACTACTTTCATAACAACGCACATACACAACGATAAGTCCACTCGACACGTACCGCTCATTACTAGCTATTGGTAAGCACTGTTCCCGCTATAATGCTAACTGTATTTTTTTTTATCATCTTGATCACAGATTCAAAGAAGGTCAAACTGACTGAAGACGGGTTTGAGGAGATCTTCCAGGCAAACTTCCTAGCACCTTTATTGCTCACGCTTCTTCTTCTTGGTAAGCGTGGCATTTCTACTTTCTTTTTTTTTTTGTCAATTTCAAACAATCCTTGACAGCGAGTATGCGCGGGATTTCAATGGTAATTTCTCGTTGCAGAATGTCTTTTATTCCCCTTACCCCTTCCTCAGCACAGGATAGCCAGCCGGTCTGAAAACTGCTAACCTCCCTGTCCTTCCTCCTTCTCCCTCCTCCTTCTCCCCTCCTCCTCCTCCTCCTCCTCTTCGTGAGATTGTGTATAATTCACCACCAGTGTCGGACGTGTTAAGCACAGTGTCACTGCTTAGTCAAACATTTTGTCTCGTAGTTTGACATGTGGTGACGCGCACAGCAATGCAAACATACACTGCAGCCCTACTGATGACACGCTTGTTGATGTCTCGTGAATAAACTTAGAAAACAAAGGTGACAAAGGCGGCGTCACCCCCTTTACTATACTTACGTTAAACAACGTAAATTCCAAATCATCCAAGAGGGAAAGAGAAACCAAAGCTGTTTTATAAACTCACTGTGGCATCTCACGCAGTTAGCATATTTTAAGCTACAGAATCAAGGAGATCTAGCGTGAGTTAGCGCAGGCAACTAAAGCACCTCTTGGTTACGTCGAATATCTCAAGGCGTTTCGTTCCTTGTGAATGCGACATTTAAGGGTAAACCAGCGTGAGCGAAATAAAGCAAAGAAAAAACCATAACAATCGCGAGCTGCGCGTTTAATCGAAGGTTTAATCAGGCTTCGCGACGTGACTAAAAAAATGTTTGACCGCCTGTATTCGTTTGAGAAGAACACTGCCCGAGTAGGTTCCGCAAAGGCATCATCGCTTCTGTATATATAGCTCCACTCTCGACAAGCAAATCCAGGATGTAAAGTGTAACCGGGCCGGTGGCCTAGACTCACTGTGTGTGCGACGAGTTCGCGTCTTCACCAACGTTATTTTCTTCACATGACCATCCGAACGGTTCGATCTTTCTTTTTTGTCGACGCTGCATAATAAAAACAAGCAAAGCAAGAAAAGCATGGAGGATTACTTAGTCATGTGAATTAATAAAACACGAAGGTAAACATCGCTTGAGTAGTTGTTGTTGAGTGGTTTGTTGTTAATAAACACGAGAGGTTGATAGTTTATTGTACATTAATGCATGAAAGAATGACAATCTATGAGGAGTTTTTTTTTTTTCAATGGGCCAAGTTGAGAACTTAAACTAGGTCAAATATGGCTGCATTGTCCCATACATACTCTCAACTTTCTTCTAAAACGGTAATAATAAATTACTAATTGGTATTAATTTATTATTACTGTTTTAGAGGAAAGTTAGAAATATGCATAGGCCAATAGAGCCTTATTTGAGCTAGTTTGAGATCTAGACTTAGCCCATTCTTAAAAAAAAAAAAGGTCCTCAAATATCGGTGTTTGGCAGCTACAGCACCGTTGGGCGTGAATGCATGCGTTCTTTGACGCCTATCCTCATCCCGATGATTGCTAACCTTTAAGGCAGCCGAAGTAGTTAACATACATTTGCACACAACATATGGTGACTGTCGCGCAAAGATGGCACCTAATAAACACTGGTGCTTTATATGCACTTTCAAAGCGCCGTCATTTGACGAGAGAAAGCAGCGTAAGGATAACCTAAGCCTGTGCTCATGCTTTCCAAGAACGCGAGAGGCTGAGTTTGCAGCTTGAGCTGTGAACGTGGGTAGGTGTTCCGCCTTACGCTGGTGCGTCCTTCTGTATACCCCAATTCAATCAATTACTGTGTGTCATTCAGCCATTGACGCCATCGCCTTTCGGTGCCACATATTAGCAGTGCTTCTAAGTCGATGTTATCGCACTCGAAGCAGCAGGCGGCTCGAACTGCCCCTTGTCGACGAGCCGCCATGCCAACACGACGCGAAACACAAATCTCGTACATTCCGGAATCTTTCAGTTTTGTTTGTGTATATATATACACACGCACGAACGTACGTAAAGTGCAATTGACATCCCCTACCCCCTTCAAGATTTCTCGTTACGCTACTCTTGGTTAACCCTAAAGCTAACCCTAAAGCTAACCCTAACGTCGTCACGGTAAGCGTTTTAAACTTTCACTGATATCCTGCCTCAAAAGCAGGTGCATGTTTATTTTAAAGAAGATTATTTTATTTCCACGCGAAAAAACGAAACGCGCCAGGAAACCGTCAAGCCCTTCCCAATAACGCTTCCGAAACGAGACCATGGGCTTGTTTGCGTAGTTCGGTCACGTATTTCGCAAGCGCCGTAAAACTACTTCACCTTGGCCCGCAAAATCTTCTCTGATGGGCTTTGCACGTGAAAATTTGTTGCCACTGCCGCACTGCATTCCACTAATCGTTTCGGAAAATCTCATCATTCCGGCGCGGGCAGTTGGAACGCTGCTGTGAACAAGCACAACATTACCGTTTTGTGGAGCCATAAACGAAAAAAAAAAACTCGCCACCATATCTCCCTCTGTTAGCCATTAGAGGTTATGACTGCTGCTGCTGCTAACTTCAACGACGGCTCTTCTACTAACATACCTGCACATATGGCAATTTGTAACCTTCCTGCAGCAATCTCTCACCACGTAATGTCACTGCCCCGCCGCGGTGGCCTAGTGGCTAAGGTACTCGGCTGCTGACCCGCAGGGCGCGGGTTCGAATCCCGGCTGCGGCGGCTGCATTTCCGATGGACGCGGAAATGTTGTAGGCCCGTGTGCTCAGATTTGGGTGCACGTTAAAGAACCCCAGGTGGTCGAAATTTCCGGAGCCCTCCACTACGGCGTCTTTCATAATCATATAGTGGTTTTGGGACGTTAAACCCCACATATCAATCAATCCACGTAATGTCATCGAGGACGTGAGCAGACTTAATTTATTTGTTATTTTTTATTTTCAATCAAATTTTTTTATAAAATTTTTATTCGATATTTGGTATTTTATGCCAATATTCGACGCTATTCGTTCCAATTCGATTGAAAATAAAATTTTACTAGTCACACACTCCCAATAAGAAAGCGTAAGGTAAAATAGCTACAAAGGGAGGCTTTTTGCGTTCTTCTAGACTTTGCGAATTTTCTACGTTCAAGGACGGCTGTTCCTTTCTCCGTGCGTAATAATGCTTCCAGCGCGAGGAGAAGGATTCAAATTCTGACTTAAGGCTGACCATATATTTTCCGTTCGGTGACATAAAATCCTTAGCGTGACCCTTTCCATACCTTTTATTTTTAATGGGGATATATATTCTGAGCGCACGCCTGCAAACTCTGCCACTCGGTGCCACTAAAGGACAACATAGGCGACTGGTGTTTTTGCGCAGACTTGCTGAAGAAGAGTTCGCCGAGCAGAATCATCAACGTGTCCTCCGACTACCACCGATTGGGACAAGTTGGAGACGTGAGGCAGATGGCGCGAGGCGTTAACCTGGTCACCAATCCCACAGCCCTCTACGGGAACGCCAAGCTGGCACTCTGCTTGGTCACCATCGCACTGGCTGACAGGCTTCGAGGCACTGGTACGCCACTGATTTGGTTCTGTGGAGGTGATGGTTCGAACATACCACCACAAACTTCCATTCTCTGGTGGTGGCGGCAACTGCCGGAACTCAATGGTGGATCGAAAAAAAAAATAATGAAGAATTGACTTCAGCTCAGCATATATGAACGACACGACGTCTGAGACATCGTCGTCATTCAGATGTCTCATCTTATGTGTGACATACATAGGCTGTTTGGCTCATGTAACCCGATGCATGGGCCACTCCGCAAAATAGTAAATATGATGGGATGCTAAGTACTTTTTTCTTGGGATTCAAGTTCCACGAGAATTCCCCAGTGGGTATCTGACTGCAGAGCATCAGGAGCAGCGTTTGATAACCAGTTTTTTTCCGTCAGGTGCAATTTTATTTGACTGTTTCTTATTCAGTTATGACAGCAAGAAGCGGCCATCACAGGCACACGTTCCAAAACTTGGTCATGCCGGAGTTAAACTCGCTCAAAATCGGCAGCCGAAGCGCACTCGGGCAAGGAGCAAATTATCACTGAATATATACCAAAACTAGTGCGGTATGACGCGGGTTTGCGAACATAAATGACAGTTTAGGCGCTATCTGTACCAGAATAGGCGTAAGTGCATTTCATTCGCCTGACATATACCAGGTTCTATGAGCATGCATGCATGACAAACATGTTATGTATGTTGAACTCCATTTCATGGTATGAATGACTTTCATCTGGCTCAAGGACAAACGAGGCGATTTATGAAACGTTTTGCTGGCTACTTCGCATTTCAATGTTTTCTACAATGTGTGGTATCTGGCAGATTTCTTTAAAGCGCTTGTAGCCTATCTGTTGACAAAAACACATTAAACTCGCGCATTATGCGTAGAAAGGCAGTCCTTCGTCCCATTAAGGTGACAGCATGATAAAAGCTAATCTTAACAGCGAAGTGCGCAGGGCCGCAGGTACCGCGCTGTTCGTATTTCTTATGATGGTTTCGCAACATGCTTGAATACGTGACATGGATGCTTACGTGCTTACAGCATGCTAGGCACGCGTTGCACGTTTCTGTATCCACTTCAACGTCCTCCTACTTGTGGCGTCAATGCATTTCACAACAACTTGCACAAACATTGGATGAACGTTAAAGAACTTTTTTTTATTCCACACAAATAGGATGTTCCTGGTCAACCGGAAGTTGCTGCTTAAGAAACAAGAGTGTCAGTCACTGCTCGCGTCACTGGAAAATAGCGTGCCACAGGTCCAGCAGGCTATAGTGGTCGCTCGGAAAAAAATGGAAAGAGCGCAGCTGGTAGTACTTCCTTGTTCCTCTTCCTTTTTTTCTTTTTCTCTGCTTTTTTTAGGTTTCCTTTTTTAATACGAAAGTGTTTTATGCCGGATCCCATCACGTGGCCCCGTTTACGAAGGGCGCGCTGCTTACCCACGAAGTAAGAGTTGTGACATTTGTTCGCGCTCATCCTGTGTATAGTTGTGCCTTGTTTTGTGCGTCTTTCTGTTTTGAGCAGCGTGATTTAAGCCTCAAGCTCTAACAGCTGTTCGTCTGCACTGGTCCTGTCTATACATGCTCATTTCGTGCGTGCTTTCTGCTTGAGGTGCGCGCTGCAAGTTTCGAGCTGGTTGCCATCCCTCGCGTGGCACTGCAATTCGTTACTGCACCATTCGTTCCTTCGCATTTGAGGGTGAAAAAAAATGCACTATGAGTGCTCAACTACGTCTGCGACGACACGTTTTACTTTCGTGTTATTGTAACGATTCCTAGAAAGTGCATAAACCACGTTTTTTTTTTTTGGTGTCTGTTGCTTTTATTAATTTCTTCTCCTCTATCTTTATTTCATTCTCATGTTTACTCTATGTTTGCCTTCTCTTTCTTCGTCTCTCTCTCCACTTCTTCATCTTTCGTTCTCTTTTGCTCTTCCTGTTTTTTTTTTCTGTCTCTTTGAAGTGCTTGCTGTTTTTCTTTCTCTACGTTTTCCTCGGTCTTTCTATCTTTTTATGTCTTTTGTAGTGAAGAGGAATGCCCACTACTGCAGCGACATCGACACGTGGGCGCGAGGCACGAGCTAGGACTGCCTGGTTGCTGCTGCGACGCTGCCCGCATACTCGGCCTGCTCTTGCTGCTTCGGTACCGACGCCGCTACCGCTGTTTACCTTGCATTTACATTATACTTTATTCGCTTTATGTTTTATTTTTCCTTTTTTGTCGCTTTCTCTTTGTTTTGAGGTTTTTTTTCTCTATCTTTTGTTCCTTCCTATGTCTTTCTTACTCCCACTCTCTGTTTCCCGCGTTTCACATGCCCCACTTGGCCACACAGAGTTCTCGTTTAACGTTCACACCTGCTGTACTCGGTAGTGAGGCTTACCAAACTCCTGCTGCGCGTGCGCCCACTTGTTTTCTGCAGATACATATTTCACAGCTGGCAGGAACAAACAAAAAACTGCGTTAGCGTCACAACGAGAAACCACCAGCGCGCTGAGTGAGTGCTAATTGCGCAGGTGTGACGGTGAACTCCCTCCACCCCGGTGCCGTCAAGACGCACATCGTGGACGAGGGACCGGGCCTGCGGAAGTTCCTCTTCGACTTCGTGCTCAGCATCAAAGGAAAGGTGAGCCTCAACCATTAATTCTCTATGTATGTACAGGGGTACCAATTTGCTTGATTAGATTTGATTGCTCTGAAATATGGCATATGTCCACTCTGAAGCGTAACTTTCTTATGAGCATTACAACAATACTTATCAATAGACTTATATTGAAATGCGAATAAAGTAAGAAAGACCAGAGAAAGAGTGAGAAGAGAAGACAAAGTGAAATTTTGAGATTTGAGATGACCAGACAGCTGCGTTTACTTCACCCAACCGTTCATAATCCATGTGTTAAAACACGTAATATTGCGACACAACAGCATTTATTAGAGTGGAGATTTATAGAGTGATACGTTTGGCAGCCTGAACAATATGCACGAACTGCGTAGAATGCGCTCCTGTGACAATGTCCCGAAACAGAGCCACCAAAGTTTATCACAGTTTCTACCATGGACCTAAAGCCTATCTTCACTTGAAGCCTTTTTCTAAGTTTGTGCCGCCCACCTGTTCACTTCTTTATCTTCAGTGGAGGAAGCCAGTGCTCAACTTTTTGAAGGCAATAGACCTGCACCGGTGATTATAGAGTTATGGTGTTATGATGACTATGAAGTGGGACTGTGTGCGCGTGCTCTCTCTTTATCTCTCTCTTTCTCCATCTTCAAAACTCGACTCGTCCATTTGTCAAGCGTAGGGTAGCATACCGGTCTTTCTAGACTGGTTGAAATCCCCGGCTTTCCCTTCCTCTCTTCCTTCCTTCAGTGGACCCGTGGCGAGTGGTGGCACTTGGCCAATTTATGTGTACAGTGCAACGCCGAGTTATCATTCGCACGGCCATATAAATTTTCGCTTTAGAAGGAGAGAGAGAGAGCTTGTGACCAAAAATTACTCATAAGTCACTGTGATGATTAGTTATTTATTTTTTGCGCAGCTTGCATTTAATCGGGCAAGGCTAGTCACCCCAGAGCTTGTGGGCACTTATGGCTCGTCCTGACTTGGCTAGTCTTTTAGCCATCTTCCTCTGTCCTACCCATTCCATGCTACTGAGCTTTTTTTTTTTTTTGCGGGCGAGGACATATTGCCTAGCGGGTGACGCCATCTCTAGTTGTGTAAAGTACTAGATTATGCGAAGCTTCGTGTTTGTGTTGTTCATGGTGCAGCAGCTATGCGTTCGACTGCAGTTGCAATCAATTTCTTTTTTTTTAACGTGAAAGTGTTTTATGCCGGGGTCACAACAGCTCCGCTGACGTACTTCCGTCACGGAAGTGACGTTCAAAAATATATACTAAGAGATGGCAAAGAAAAAATCAGAACGCAAGTATCTGTCACACGGAATCAAACAAGCAACGGCTCGACTCTTAGCACGCGGCGCAAGCCACTACGCCACAAAGCGTATGTTGTCTGGTATGCTAACGGCAAGCCATTTATATACACCATAAAGTGTTTGGAAGTCCTCAGAGTTTCGAAACTTTCGCGCACTTTCATTATCAGTGGGGAGATGGCGCGACAGGCTCGCGTTGACTTTAACGATAGGTGCGCTCTAAGAAAGACGCATGAAACGAGCGCACAAGATACACAGGACAAGTGTGAACAACTGCCACAATTCTTCCTGCGTCGTGTTTCAGCAGCGCGTTCCTTTCGTAAACGTAACCGTGGCGGAGTGCGAAGTGACCTTGGCCTTCTCCCGAATTTCGAGTCTGATAAACGCGCGCGCAGGAGAGATAACGTGCGGCGCTGCGTGGAGACGACGACCTTTGATATAGAGGCCCGTGTACTGTGTGATGTCATCAGTGCACGTTAAAGAGAGCCAGATGGTCGAAATTCCCAAATCACTCGACTACGGAGTCTCTCATTGTGATATCGTAATTCTGACACGTAAAACTCCAGACATTTTTATTAGTGTTGTCATTCGCAAAGCTAAGCCTACAAAATTAGCCGTTTTACACTATAGGAAGCGTAACAACGTGGTTTTGTTTTTTAGTTAGAAAAGAACTATGTATGATATCCCTTCACGAGTTTTCGGACATGCTTTTGAACATGTAAAAATAATTGTCTTTCTTAAGCAGTAAGACAGTATTGATCAACTCACATAGTGACAAAAAACTTGTGTGTGTGTGTGTGTGTGTGTGTGTGTGTGTGTGTGTGTGTGTGTGTGTGTGTGTGTGTGCGTGCGTGCGTGTGTGTGTGTGTGCGTGTGTGTGTGTGTGTGTGTGTGTGTGTGTGTGTGTGTGTGTGTGTGTGTGTGTGTGTGTGTGTGTGTGTGTGTGTGTGTGTGTGTGTGTGTGTGTTCGGCTTTCATACGGCATGTCATCTGCGATACAACCAGCTATCTTGCGGAAGTTGTAGCCTCACAACAAGGATCCCACCCAGTTCTTTTTAATGAAGTGTTCACTGAATGTTTGGGTTTTGCAAGGCCGGTACAGAGCTAAACTTAAATGTTTGATGCCGGTAGCGCCGCCATGACGTAGGGGATTTCTTGACCGAGCTAGTATCACTAGATCAACTGCAGCGATCACCATGTTGAGCTGAGCCATCGGGCCAGACACATCATATTTAGCTTTAATTAAAAGGAACCGACAATACACGTCGCTGCTTACGAATGTCAGCCCACGAGTGCTGCTTGGATGTTTCGCACTCACATAGTGGATAGGGCCATGCGAAAAATATCTCGCAATATCACTTATTTTTATTAACTTCATTATTGTGTTTATCCCTTATGCTCAGAAATATCACTTTTGTTTATTCGGCGATCTGGCCACCTGATAGTTGTCGAACTGTCTCGAACACATAGCACCCTAGATATCTTGTGACCTTCCCTATTTAATACCCGTATGCTGTAAGACAAACAATTTACCTTGGAGAGTTCGCAGCCGCAAATATTCCGCGTTTGGTGATTCACATCGCATGTATTCAGACGGCAGTTACTTTTTTTTCGTAAGTGTTAGAACAACAAAACTGGCACAGTCTTGCTGGCCTTTTCCTGGTTGACGTGGCAGGGAAGAAGAAAATGCGCTGGTTGACCTAAAACGCGTCGAAATTCCTCGACAAATTCCTCCTGTATACTAATAATTTGTAACGCTCCCGATGACATAATAAAATAATTTCTGATTCAACGCCACTTATTCAAGCACCTGCCCGAACACTGCACACCGTTAGGGTGGCTAGCACCGTCGCGTGTATTTCAGAAAGGAGGAGAACACTGGTTGCCAAACCGGTCCTACTCACCCGCTATCCTGTACTATACATGACTAAGCCTGATCCGTTTTTTTTTTGCCTTTATTTTTTACTATGAAAGCGCTTTAAGCCGGGTTACCCCAAGGCTTCAGTGGATGTACTTCCGTGACGGAAATGACGTCGAAAAATTACATATGGTGAGATGGCAAAGTAAAGTTCTGCGAATAGGTGTCTAGAGTTTCTTAATTTGTTTTTTTATTTATTCATTCTGTTACCATACATGCCAAAACAAGAGTTGCTCAACTGGGCACATGCACCAGCAATTTCAAAAATAAATTCAGTACTAGAAGAAAACATCGTAACTTGGCACAATGCAAAAAAATGAAAAGGAGAAAGTAAAAATGCAACATTCAATACGCACATTGCAGCCAACTCACCAGAACATAGATTAGCAAACGGGTACAAAGAGAAAATCCTTAGTACGCCTATGTCTGAGTGAGTCCCGTTGAGGAAACATTTGGCGAGTCGGAGTCCTAGTGAGCCCTCGAGGGAAAATATATTTCTTGAGTTAGGCAGAGTGAGCCGCACATTTTGTTTTGCTGACCTATGCAAATGCCTGATGCTTTTCTGGCGCAGACGCCGCTGGAGGGAGCGCAGACATCGGTGCGGCTTGCCGTGGATCCTGAGCTGGCGAACACGAGCGGCGAATACTTCGAGAACTGCGCGCCTGCCGCGCCTCGATACCGGAGTGCGCACTTGGCCGACCACCACCTCGCCGAACACTTACTACGCTCTTCCCAGCACCTACTCGGGCTATAGTTTTTAGGGGCGAAGCTCCTTAGGGCGTGGGCTGTGCGTCCCCTGTAGCCTGTATGTAGCCACCTCTAGTTTAGTTCTTGCAGTGTTCACTAGATGGCGGTACCGTCCCCTGTATGTAGCCACCTCTAGTTTAGTTCTTGCAGTGTTCACTAGATGGCGGTACCGTCTCCTGTATGTAGCCACCTCTCGTTCAGTTCTTGTAGTGTTTACTAGATGGTGGTACTTGTAGCTGATGATGAAAAATGCAAGATGTTATAAACTAGAAAGCGGTACTTGTAGTTGATGAAAGACGCGAGATCTTATAAAATAGGAATGATGTCACATATGGCGCGTGTCATTGGTTGAAGGCAATCGTTCGATTTAGTGCGGCGACGTACGCTAGGGGGAGCGATGTAATAAAATCGAGTGGGCAAAATGTACAGAGGATTCATGGTTTACCAGGTTTACCTCCGGAGCTTCGCCCACTCATCATCATTCACTTCGTGGATATGGCGGAATTTTTTTTCTCTACGCATTAACTCTCCAGCATTGAAAACGTGAATCAGAAGACTAAAGGTGTTTGTTGCTTGGGCTTTCAAAGGGTACTTACGCAACGCTCGCAGAAAAATGCCTCAAGTTATTCATCAGGTCAAAATGTGCATCTGCAACCTGTGACTCGGCCGCAGTATCTCAGGTTTGCTCGAACTCATTGAGAATAACAGTGCCACTCATTCATGCTTCGCATAACGTGCACTTCATCCCGGCAGACCGAGCGCAACTTGACGCCGATCCCTCCATATATGTCGCGGCTTCTTTCACCTGATCGCTCTCCTTGTGCCCACAGCTCGCCGCACTGGTCACCAAGTTTCTCGCCGACGTTTCTTTTTTGCTTCATTCTTTCCTAGAGCACTAGAAGCTATCAATGGCTCATCAGGCTTCACGCGTAGCATCTCAAATGTAACTTCACATCAATCACTGTGACGATATTCACATCAATCACTGTGACAACGAGCCAGTCTGCCACCCCTGGCTATACCACTGTACAGTAGTGCAGATTGTTAATTAGATGTTTGGGAAAACAATGAATAGCCTCACGCACACAAAGGAGCTGTCGGAGAATGGCACATTGTGGTCTCTTGACCTGCTTATTTTGTTCAGAAATTAACATGTATGCTAGAGGTATGCACCTCGCACTAGCAAAAGCCTCTTGTCATTCTCATGATAGGCCCCGCCACGGTGGTCTAGTCGCTAAGGTACTCGGCTACTGATCCGCAGGTCGCGGGATCAAATCCCGGCTGCGGCGGCTGTATTTTCGATGGAGGGGAAAATGCTGTAGGCCCGTGTACTTAGCTTTGGTTGCACGTTAATGAACCCCAGGTGGTCTGAATTTCCGGAGCCCTCCGCTAGGGCGTCTCTCATAATCATATGATGGTTTGGGGACGTTAAACCCCACAAATCAATCAATTCTCATGATAGCCCACTCAAACGTTGTAAAGAGAAGAATCGCTGGATCGGCCCCTGCAATGCACTTCAATAATGTCGTGCACGTACGAGACTGAAATGCCGTTAAAAAATTGGTTAGTGCGGGCATTGGTTAGTGCGGGCATTGGTTAGTGCGGGTGAAGTATAGATTAGAGTGGGAACCTTCGAAAAAAGCGTGCTAGAAAAAACTCAAAGCACATCCACGAAGTGAATGATGATTAGTGAAGCGACGCGTCCGTCCGTGCATTCATCCATCTGTCTGTCTGTCTGTCTGTCTGTCTGTATGTATGTATGTATGTATGTATGTATGTATGTATGTATGTATGTATGTATGTATGTATGTATGTATGTACGTACGTACGTACGTATGTATGTATGTACGTACGTATGTGTGTATGTATGTATGTATGTATGTATGTATGTATGTCTGGCGATGAGCACAAGCCGCCGTGGACCTCCGCGCCCACCTCTCCGCTTCGTCTATGCCCCAACAACGATCCGACACGTACAATGGCGATCCAGGAGACAAAGAGAGACACTCGTTCCCCGCGCACCCAGGCACAGCCCGTGCAGTAGCTAATCAGAGAGTAGCGGTACAGTGCCATCTAGAATATTATCATTCAACTGTAGTTTGTATGTACGTTTATGAGACAGCACCATCTATTATACTGTTCGGGAGATACTGCCGGTTACGCTTGACGCGGGACAACGTTAGACTAAGAGGAGCTTCAGTCCTAAAAACACTAGACGCCCATTACCACTTGCGTCAAGGGAGTCGTTTTAACATCCCTCTGAGCTGCAGCCGCTCTTACGCAGGGACGCTGCCTTCGCCTCAGGGTGCACGCATACTATGTCAAGCCAATCAAGGCAGCAACTTGGCGCTACATTGCAGATCGTGCAATCACATTCCAAATTTCAATCAAGCCACCATCATCAGAAAGTGTTCGGGCCAGCGCACGCGCGAGATCATTGAAGCATTCGCCATTATCAAGCGGGGCCGTTCTAGCGTTAGTTGACCGTCTATTCAGTTACTTGATAAAGAAGTCACATATCTACAATGTTAACACCTTTAAAAGCCTGGAACCTCTAGTCATCCTTTTATCATATGTATCACGTGTCTTCTCTTGTCTATTTCTGCCTTTATATTTCACGTTCGCGCAATAAATCTCTGTTGGAAGTCAGCATACCTGTGTCGTGTGGTCTCTTCTGTGTACCGTTTTCGCGCTATTTTGAACAACTATGTGCACGTACCAACAAGCCCGCTTAGCCACAATTTTTATGTAATCAACTCAGTTTGAAAGCCATATTTCAAGCATTTGCGCATCCACGTTTCGCAAGTTCTTCGTTTTTGCGACACAAGGCCGAACGAAGCTCGAGTACGCATCCACTGCCTCGGAAGCTCATACTGAACGGAAATCAAAGCATCAGAGATCACGCAATGAATATCAGTTAGCTTCATTTATTCTAAGTTTCATACTGACTCTCTGGCTCAACAAAGGAATCTTCATGCAATAAAAGCATTATTACCGCGAAAGCTTTACAGAATAAAATGTTTGTTCTCAATTTTTTTTTACCCTAAACCTTACGTGAAAATTGAACGTGCCTGCTTCCCAATTTTGTTCAGTCGGTGGGACAGGTTGTGGTGGAAAAAACAACCTCGACTTTGTCACGCTTTTATGTTTGTTTGTTTTTTCACCACCAAACCCAGCCTCGCTCTTGCAAGCCTCTGCTACCTTACGTATCCTGCCACAGTAAACATGTTAAAAGAACTATCACGTGTATATATGCCTCTCGAAAGCCCTAGACAAGTCGTGCCACCACGCCATCGAAATTAGCTTCAAAGCCCGAAGCGCCCAGCTGCATTCAATCCGAGCAGGACTTGCTTGCCTCTCTTGACCACAAAAAAATGGCATTCTCTTGCTGCTTTCCTAGATGTAGTGGCAGACTGATGACGCCCAAATTATGTGTTTTGCTTCCTTCATAGTAAGCACTGTGGTCGATGGCCGCACCATGGTCGGCAAACGCATCCTGCGGAAGTACGAGTACGGCAAGAAGTACGCTTGCGCGCCTGTATCCACTTTCAGTTCTGTCAGGTGCTCGGCAAGGTCACCTGCCACAGTCCAATCCTGATTTCTGGAAACGTTTCCGATTTGCACCCTGATAACTTGAATGTCTTCATCTGTAGCGCCCGAGGACTCCTTCAGTGCATCTTCTGTTGCAGCGACGCCTAACTCATGAACGCCGCGTCTACTCCTGCAGCAGCTGCAAAATGGTTTCTCTTGTTGCGCAGCGTTCAAGTTTTTCCAAACGCTGGGCAGCGTCTTGGTTCATGAATCTTGCCACAGTAGCCGCAGCGTCGACGCTGTCCCCTCGTGCGAGACTCTCCGGCAGCGTTTGCCATTTTTTCGACTCTCTGCAGCACCTTCGCTTCGCTTTCAAGAGCACGGTTTAGCGTTGCTGCCAGTTCCGCGGCTTTTCAAATTTCTACAGCTGATTCTAGGGTCAACTCCTTCTCCTGAAGCAGGAGTGCACGTAGCTTCTTGTCGAAGATACCGCACACTATCTGGTCCCTCACCATCGAGTCTTTGATTTCGCCAAAATTACAAGTCTGCGCTTTCAACTGTATATCGCGCAAAAACTGTTCGAATGGTTCACCCTCCTGTTGTTGCCGACTGCGCATAACGCACCTTTCTGTACAAGCGCTCTGTATGTGTCTGTCTCTTCTACGTCCTTGTCTGTTTTGCGCTTACTCACTCTTAATCGAATGTCTCGTTGCACCAAGGTGTGCAGTAGTCTTCGAAGGCTTTGACAATCGAGTCATAGTTATCTCGTTGTTCTGCTGGTAGAGGTAAGGTGTTAAACACTTCAATTGCTTCTGGGCCCGCGACGTGAAGAAAGATGGCAGCCTTCTGTGCTGGCGTTCGTTTCTTGTTGGTCTCGGTAGCTTTGAAGTAGAGTTCGATTCGTTGGCGGAACTTTTTCCAGTTGTCGGCTGGAGCATTTGTCAGTACAAATGACTCGGTTGGTGCTAGGCTGTCCATCTTCAGCACCGGGTTTGTCTGTTACACTTCTGACACCATGTTCTAATTTACGTGCTCAGTAAGGACACAACAACACGAGACGCTAGCAAGCAAGGGACTATGCTATTTATTGATGGCTACCATGGGGAAAGTGTTACCTGGTTTCCTACTATGCCTATTACAACTACCCCGAAGTGGAACAGTTGCCTCAGTCAACAAGCCAGGTCGTAGTGGACACACTAGGTACAATGTTGCTCGTCACGGTATACCCATTGAAGTCTGCACTGATGAAGGACCACATGCCGCATGATGGAGGCCACATGCAGTTGACATCTCGCAAGTTCAGACAGTTTACAATAAAACATGACTATCCATTAGTCACCTCTGAATGGCCAGGGTATCTGTTGTGATCTGCCATTCGACAATGATCTGACGTACAATGTGCGTATTGGAAAAGTGTGCACAGCCGTTGCGTGCGAGCGTTTACTCTCCGATGCGGCGGACGTCCATCAATGGACGTCCGCCGCATATATAGTATATGTATATAGTATACAGTATATAGTCCGACTATAGTATACGCTAAAATAGTTGTTTAGATTAATTACTTCTGTAGTTCCGTCGCAGCTACCTCAGTTGTTTAAGGCATCACTCCTTCGTAATAACCCGCAGGTCGCGGGTTCAAATCCCGCTGCGGCGGCTGCATTTCCGATGGAGGCGGAAATGTCGAGGCCCGTGTGCTCAGATTTGGGTGCACGTTAAAGAACCCCAGGTGGTCAAAATTTCCGGAGCCCTCCACTACGGCGTCTCTCATAATCATATGGTGGTTTTGGGACGTTAAACCCCACAAATCAATCAATCAATCCTTTGTAATAAATTGTCGTGAGACATTTGGTCGAGGTTCTGGGCCAACTTTGGGGCTTACGTCGAGCATCACTCAACAGCATCCACCCCGGTTCCCATCCTTCATTGCACTAGCGTTCGGGCCACGTGTCGGCTGCCGAACGACAGATAATCAGAGAGCAAGTCAACGAGATGCTGCGCACAGTCCCTGGGCGTCTTCTGCGGTGATGGTAGCAAGACAGGCGGGTCAATAAGCTGCTGTGTAGATTATAGTCATCTTCCTCTTC